TGATCCATTAAGTTATTGTCGAGAAAGTAAAAAAAAATATATATGACAGCATGCCTGTGTTGGAGTTGCATGTTTTGTTGCTTGTTACCTTAATTGATTTTTTTTAAGGAGGGAAGATGCCATAAATGCAACACAGTTTATACAGTTTGGATGTTACGTTAATCGCGTCTTGTTATATTTTACGACAGAAGTTTTACGGCTAGGGTAGGGCATCGTTTGATTTTGAACAATTCCGATTCCAATTCCTCGTTTCGATTCCGGTTCCTATCGATTCCCGATTCTGATTCTTTCAAGACCCGACATGCTTTACATGAGCCAGCTAACCACAGGTCCTACTAGATGAAACAATCTGAACTTCAACATGAATTTTAACTCTATGAACAACAACATCACCTTCATTTAGACAAAAACGTGTTTTGGAGAAAAAAGAAGACGACTTGCAGCACAACCAGTGTGTTTGTTTCTGACCACAACCAAAGTCTGGAAGAAGCCTCTGGGATGAGAGGCTAAATGTCTCCAACATATCCAGAAACGTCCAGCTGTTTTCAGCTAAAGCTCTCAGGATGATCATGTCCAGGATGACTGAGAACCACACCTCCATGCTGCAGCAGCGTTCAGTCACAACAGGAAGTGGAGCTTAAACGTAGCTGCTGTCAGTAACAAGCTAACAGATTTTAAACATTAAAACTCAACAAAAATAGTTCAGAAAGGTAATTAAAATGTTATTATTATTATTATTATTACTTATTGTGGCAGAAGCTGGTGTGGTCCACCACAGAGAAGCTGCTCTAAAATGATGACTTTAATTATTCTACAGGTTATTGTTCAGCCTTCTGATGCTCACACACACACACACACACACACACACACACACACACACACACGAGTGTTGGTGAGCGGCTGCGTCTGACTGCTGACGCTCCGTGTGTGTTTTTATTTCTGCAGTGAGACAAACTCACCTCACACCGTCCAGAGTTTGTTCTTTAAGCTTCTATTAAATCCACCGTGTTGACGTATTTAACGCGTTTCCTCTACGCTGCAGGAGTTAACGTTTACGTTACGGAGTAAAGGTTCGGCAGACGTGTTTGTTTATATCTGGGTGGGGGAGGGGGACTCGGTGCTGCACACAGACAGCTGGTGTGATCAGCTCTGGAAAGCATTGATCACAATTTGCAGATCACGTTTATTTTTCACGGAGATCGGCCGCGGATTCCTCTTCCGTCAGCATTCTAGTAATCAAAATAAAAAACGTTGAGAGATTCCGGGAAAAATGAACAGTTGGAACCGGTTCCAATCGATGCTCGATTCTCGATGCCCAACCCTATTTACGGCAGAGGGGGAGAGGGGAAGCGAGGGCGGGGGTGTAATGGCCACTCATGCAGAGACCTGCCAATAAAGCTGAGTTCTAAAAGCCAACTCCGAGTTCCGTCTTTTACATATACTAACCTCATTAACGTAGACAGACTATTCAACACGATCTGAGAACCTGAGTGAGGTCAAGCGGAGTGACCCAGCAGTCTGAGAATACACTAATTTCCCCTCTGAACAAACTGTGTGATGGTGGGTCTTCGTAGTATTAAGAGACTGCAAATTAAACTCAAGCAAACATCTTTGCTGTGAACTAAATTTACTGTGTATTCCTTTTGCCGTTCATTTTCAAACTGTTCTTTTTTTTTCCTACTCGGAAGTTGGAATTTCAAAGGAGAAAGTGATTGCACCATTAGCTGAATGGAAGCTAACATATCAAGCTAACGTTATCTTAACCATTTTATTTACCTACCGGAGCAGATTAAGATGATGATGCCTCACTCAGATCGTTGTTGCTGGTTTCATCATCACCCAGTTACCCATCCCATTTAGTGAAGTGGACCCAAACTTCAGAACACTTCCTCTCTGCCATGCTGCTTTGTTTACAGCTCGCCCACAGTGACTGAAGACATTATACTCTGGTGAGCAGCACAGGTACAGAAACAAGGCACCGTTTCATATGACGTGAATCAGTACTCAGTCGGTACAAGGGAATTCGGTCGGTGCCTTAATTCGGTACCCATCCCTAATAATTATATATCAGATTTTGTGTGGGATGGACTCATACAATCAACATGCTGTCCTCTTTATGAATTTGTTAAATAGCCTTAAATAGTAAATGGCCTGTATTTGATATAGCGCCTTCTAGAGTCCACCACAACCAACAGGCGAGAGGGGGTTAAGTGTCTTGCCCAAGGACACAATGACAGCCATAGACTGAGCAGGGATCGAACCTGCAACCTTCCGACTACGGGGTGAGCACTTATCTCCTGTGCCACCATCACCCCATGCTGCCTTACTACTTTACAGTTGCTAACATAATACACATGTAAAAGGAAATACTTTATTGATTAGACTATATATTTACTCTGGTCACGGTAATATTTGATGTCAATGACAAACGTGATGTTTTTTCCTCTGTGTGTGCTAAACGGTTGACAGAGGGTCACATGACCACCACGAACATATCTTCTTAAAACTCACATCTTCTATGCAAAAACAAAGTCCTCCAGTCTCTACACATCTAGACTCTGGAGTAGAACACGAAAATGACACATAAATGATGAAAACTTTAATTAAATAAGTGGAGAAACAAGCGCTGAAGCAGATTTCTGGCCACAAACAAAATTACTAGATTTCTAGACTTTTATCTTTGGGGTCATCCGAAGGCAATTGTCTATTATGTGAAGATACGAGATGTGCAGCACCTGAAACCAAGGATACCGGAAGCCTGTGCTGGCACTTCTCTTGCGGTGTTGCTATCAGTGGGAGAAGAGGGTTGCATCAGCAATCCAACACAATGGGCAGCACATTGAACACATTACATAAGTGGTCAGAAACCTGTAAATAACTCATGAAAGAATAAAGTTACGTTGTTGTTTTTCTTGTGAAATTCTCAATAAGTTTGATGTGTCACATGACCCTCTTCCTATTGAAAAAACAAAAGTTGGATTCAAGATGGCCGACTTCAAAATGGCCACCATGGTCACCACCCATCTTGAAAAGTTTGCCCCCTCACATATACTAATAAAGCTCCGGACGTCACGTGACTCTCAGAGAGTAGACGCCATGTTGGCAGGCAACAAAGGTAAACAAAATGAACGGGATCAGCTTGGATTTTACTTTGTCAGAGTTTACTTCACACTTTAAAACCGAATAAATCGTTTTATATAGTCAGAAATTAAATAGACTAAACATCTCCGACCCTTACCGTGCCCCTGGGATACTTTTTAAAAATGCCAGAAACTGTCGGAGCGGACTTCTTACCGGACCTGGCCGGGGAACACCTTGGGATTGCCCCGGAGGAGCTGGCCCAAGTGGCTGGGGAGAGGGAAGTCTGGGCCTCTAGACGCTACTGCCCCCGCGACCCGACTCTGGATAAGTGGATGAAAATGGATGGATGGACAAATAACATAGATTTACACGTAAGTAGTTTAAATAGAGTGCCGTGTCGTTTGAATGTATAAACTGAACGCCAAGAGAAATCACTAGTTTGATTTTTTTCCGTGAATAAAATAAATATGTCAGGCAGGAGCGTCTCAGGATCTGTCTGAGATCTGTCTCGGTGAGACAGATAATAGCAATCCAAAGTGCTTTTTATGTGTGATTGACAATTGATCAACCATTGCTTAAAAATTAAATACAGCTTAGCCGGTTAATTGCTGTGATCATAAAACACGTAAACGGCAGCACGCAGAACTCACGAGGCAACGTTTTACGTGACGTTTACTTGTTGCTGTGAGTAATAAGACAGAAAAAGCCACGCCAAAATAAGTTTAGGAAGCCCACTAAGTATCGTAATAAAAGCATTTAAAATAAATACCATACACAGGTGAGGAAACGTTGGTTTAAGTACCTGATATGAAGTGGTCGCTGCATAAGCGAAAACCTTTACTATCGGGATCCCAGTTTCATTTTAGCCCGGTCACTAGTGCGTTTTATTACAACGACCCAACGTTTGCGGCGTTCCGGATCTTGGGGAATCCTGTAGATGGCTCATTCCTTATCTCGTCCGTGTCTGTTCTGGCATCTGGGGCACAACAGGAATCTACCATATTTCCTGTCTGATTGAGTTTTCTGACAATAACAAATAGTCCAGCTGCGGGCTTCTGCCTGCCAATATGGCGCCGTTTTGATTTGAACTGTTGCATGCCGGTAGAAGTGACATCAACTCCCGGAGCTCTATGTGCCACAAAGAGGACATTAATGTCACCAACCATTCCCTTTTTATTAAGGTGAATCCATATAAATGGCCCAACCTGTACATTCATTCTGCACACCTCTAAAAGCCCCGTGGAGGTATTATTTGTTTAACAATATAGCTTTTCATTTAAAATGTTCCATATTCCACCTTTAACATAAATAGAATGACAGTTTATGCAACATGAATACAGGTTATAGCAGCAGAACACAAATATTTATAATGTAGAGGAAAGAAACAGGGCGCATGCTAAGCTTTAATTCCGTATTTTTACTATTTTACCTGAATAGGGGCCCAACCGACTCTGTGTTTTGCGTTAGTCAGGTGGTGGCCTGTGATAGTTTAAAAATTTCCAGTCCGCCCCTGCCTGCAGCCAACAAGCAGCCTGCGAGCTAGCTAGCATGGAAATCAGTCGTGGGCACCTGCCCAGAGGTGTAGTTAGCTTTTGACAGGAGAAACCAGAGTTTAAACGGTGTAGTGACCCCTTAGGTCGTCCTGTGGGTTTCTGTTCTAGTGGTTATAACTTGTAATAGCACACAACCTTCGGGGCTGTCGGTCGAAGCAGTTCGGGTTTATCTCCAGACAGCGGCGAGGTCCACACCCTGAACAGCTAACCACTGAAGACTCATAAACACTTTTATAATTTCATAACTAGCGGTCAGGAGTGCTGTAAACTCCCCCACATGACCTCTGAAGTATGGACCACCGCTAGCGTCCACCAAGCACCAACAGCTGACTATTACTGTTTTAGGAGCGAAATAAACAAACTTACAGTTTCTGATATCGGATATGAAGACAGCCAACCCGCGCATCCCATCTCCTTTAGAAACAGCAGGCATGTCGCTAACTCCTGTGTGTTTCCTCCTCACTGACAGAGAATAACTCAACTATAAAACTTTGTTTAGCAGTTGTTTATCTAGAACGGAGAGCTACAGGCGCTGTGGAGACAGGGAGCTGCTGAGACCCACCGCGGCTGCGTTCCAACTATCACAAACTATTCAAACAGGCTCTTTCGGGGCTGCGTTCCAATTATAACACCGCGGCTGCGTTCCAACTATCACAAACTATTCAAACAGGCTCTTTTGGGGCTGCGTTCCAACTATAACACCGCGGCTGCGTTCCAACTATCACACCGCGGCTGCGTTCCAACTATCACAAACTATTCAAACAGGCTCTTTCGGGGCTGCGTTCCAACTATCACACCGCGGCTGTGTTCCAACTATCACAAACTATTCAAACAGGCTCTTTCGGGGCTGCGTTCTTCTTCTTCTTCTTCTTTTGGAGTTTTAATGGCGGATGGCAAACAACCAATGGTGCATTACCGCCACCAACTAGTGTGGAGTGTGGTCTGGAACAGCAGGGGGCTGCGTTCCAACTATCACACCGCGGCTGCGTTCCAACTATCACACCGCGGCTGCGTTCCAACTATCACAAACTATTCAAACAGGTTCTTTCGGGGCTGCGTTCTTCTTCTTCTTCTTCTTCTTCTTTTGGAGTTTTAATGGCGGTTGGCAAACAACCAATGGTGCATTACCGCCACCAACTAGTGTGGAGTGTGGTCTGGAACAGCAGGGGGCTGCGTTCCAACTATCACACCACGGCTGCGTTCCAACTATCACACCGCGGCTGCGTTCCAACTATCACAAACTATTCAAACAGGTTCTTTCGGGGCTGCGTTCTTCTTCTTCTTCTTCTTCTTCTTTTGGAGTTTTAATGGCGGTTGGCAAACAACCAATGGTGCATTACCGCCACCAACTAGTGTGGAGTGTGGTCTGGAACAGCAGGGGGCTGCTTCCAACTATCACACCGCGGCTGCGTTCCAACTATCAGAAACTATTCAAACAGGCTCTTTCGGGGCTGCGTTCCAACTATCACAATGCCAACGGGCTCCTTCGGGGCAGCGTTCCAACTATCACAATACCAACGGGCTCCTTCGGGGCAGCGTTCCAACTATCACAATACCAACGGGCTCCTTCGGGGCTGCATTCCAACTATCACAATACCAACGGGCTCCTTCGGGGCTGCATTCCAACTATCACAATACAAACTGGCTCCTTCGGGGCTGCATTCCAACTGTCTCAAACCATACAAATGAGCTCCTTTGGGGCTACATTCCACCTTTCACAATCGATACAACCAGCTCCTTCAGGATTGCGTTCCAATTTTCACAAATGATTCAAATTCAAAGAATCAAAGTTTTTGTCACTGAATCAGGTCAATAAATATCAAATTACCTGCAAATATTGTACTGTAAAGTTTTATCGACAGCAGTAAGAGCTGCACCATTATTAAGAACTGAATGTGGTGCAATAATAAGCAACCTGAACAATAGAAACGTTTAAACATCTCTACTCTGACATTACCTCCAGTCCCAAAACTGCATCATTAACAATTAATAAACACTTTACACCCAATCAACTCACATTTTAATCCTGGTGCACAAGTATTAATCATCTGAAGTGCTTCTCATCAGCAGAGAGGGTTCGGCTTTTTTAGGCTTCCGGTCGGCAAGATGGCGCCTGTGCTTGGCTTAGCCGCGGTCACCGGCCACCTTTTCAAACTTTTCTCCACTAACCTCCTCTTTTCCACCTTGCTCCTGTCTGCGATCCTCTTCAGTAGTGTCCCCGCTACCATCTCCTATGATCGCCAGACTCTTCTGTCCTTCCGTTCGTTCATGATCGCCCAAGATGCACAGAGGATTTACCATCCTGTTTGTTTACCTGAGCGGCGTACCGGCCCGGAACCAATCGACGATCCAGAGCTGCGCACCTCTAGCGATGTTTGTCCGGTCCCGGGAAAGCGTCGGAGGAAAAGAGGTAAACGAGCAGGAATCCAGGTGAGAATAAGGCTTCTCTACACCCACATCACCCCGCTTCTCCTCCAGCTTCACAGGCTGCCAGTCACCTTCAGGGTTCATTTCAAGATCCTGGTTCTGGTCTATAGGGCCTTACATGGACAAGCACCATCTTACATTGGTGATCTTCTTAGTCCCTACACCCCCAGCAGGTCCCTGAGGTCCAGTGATCAAAGCCTACTGGTTTCCCTCTTTCCTATTCACTCTCTCTCTTTCTTTACATTTTTTCTTTTAAATCGCAATTGCTTATTCTTGCTCATTTTAAATATATTTTTAAACATTTTCGAAATGCTTTTTTATATTTTTACAATTTTTATATTTTTTGTTTTTGTGAAGCGCCTCGTGATTTTTATCTTGAGAGGCACTATAGAAATGATATTTTCTTCTTCTTCTTCTTCTTCTTCTTCTTCTTCTTCTCCTTCTTCTTCTCCTTCTTCTTCTTCTTCTTCTTCTTCTTCTTCAGAGCTTGTTATCTGATGGGACAGGTACAGATGTCCGGGCTTTAATTCTCAGAGTATGCTCTTGGCCAAATTTTACTCCTGTTCTGCCTTTTGAAACCATGATTTGTTGCTGCATCTC